GGGGGGGGGGGGGGGGGGGGGGGGGAGAGTTTAACTCTTGACTTTTTAACGAAAAGCACCGCCAGGAGTGATGAGTTCAGTAGGGAAGAGAGTTGCTAAAATATAGCGCTGATGGTCTCGATAAATTATAGCAAACTGTGGACCAGTGAGTCACTACTTGATGCCAACCTAGCAAAATAACGATAAAATTCAAGACGTTACCTGGTCAATGATACCCGAAAATTCGTCACAACGTTGCATTGCCCGCTGCATTTCGATGCCAACTTGCAGTGACCCGAGAATGTCACACTGGCTGATCGTTTTCCTCAACTGACCGCAGTGCTGCCGTTCCGCACCTCGTTTACATGTTTCTTTCCTCAAAACAAATTTTTCGATCAGCAGCAACCAAAAATCACTTCTTCCAGGAAACAGCGTAAATTTGGTTGTACAGCTAAGTGATGTAGATGCTAACTCAAATTAGCATCATTTCCTTCTCTTTCCTCTAAAAACATCTTTTTCGCAAAAATTAAACGAACGCAATTGTAGTGGCGGTAGTCAAATAGCTGTTCAAAAAGAGTGCATTGAGCGACCGGCCACTGGAAATTATTCACTTTCTTCAACGCAGAATTTGCGACAATTGAGTGCACAGATCAAATGATAGTAACAATCGCTCATACAGTTAAAGACCTGATTGCTTTAAGTTCAGCGCAAAAATACGTGATAGAACCAGCAAGCCTGGCGCGTCTTACTGTTTTTAGGCTTCAGTTTGCTTTTCAAAATAGAAATACATGGTGATTTGGCTTAACGAAGATGGTTCATCATAACTGAATCGAAAGCAAAACCAATTGACATGAAGGTGTTCCTCAGATGAGGTGTTAAATCGTTTCAAGTGTAAGGCACTGTATCCCAGCAAAACGATTTCAGCCGGCAAGATTAACTGAGGATGGCACGTCAAGTTACGCAACTTTATGCTAATATAGGCAAAGTAAAACTGGATGAATGGAATGAAAACGAACGTTGCGCTAATCAAGTCCACTTTGCCACCGAACAAAGCGTTGTTGATTTGGCTGCCCCACGTGTCCCACGCTTTTTCGTCGGCCACTTTCACGCAATTTCCATAAGCCATCTGCATGAATTCGCCCAAAAATGGAAGACATCCTGCAAGCACGCGCATAGAGCAAGACCTGTGATTCATTAGCAGCCGAAAATCACCAAGAGCTTCTAGATTTTGTTGGTATTTTTGCAAAATTACATTCACTGCTCGATTACGAAAGACACCAAGAAATAAGCAACTTTGGTCAAAAAGATATCTAATAAAGTGAAATAAATAATGGATAATGGAAACCCGTAATTTTTTTGGAAAATCTAAAGCACATTCAAAAGTACTGATCATTTATTTTGCGTTTCTGGAAATCCGATGCATACTCTTTCTTTAAATTTGTTCCAGTGATTAACGATAGCATAAATAGGCAGCGAATTTTGCCAAAATAGATCCCGAATGTAAGCTAACTGAAAATTGCCGTAACCCCGGTATGGAGAAAAATATGAGGGACGGGTGAAGCGCAAGTACCTTCTTTTCGTGAGAATGCAGAGCAAAAAGTGATAAGTTAGCTTTCCTCAATAAAAAGTGATAAGTTAGTTTTCTAGTGATTAAAATGCCTGGTTTACGCTTCTTCCGAGCAACAAAATGGATTTTAAGAAAATCCTAGCTGGCTATAAAACTTTTAATTGCAATAATTTTAAAAAAAATAAACCTTCGCCTTTTGGCAGGCCGAAATTAGTTCGGGCGCCTGGAGCCAGCTCTCGGATGCTTGGTACCAAATCAATATCTGCTGCTTCATTTACGCGCATCTGCGGTTTCGCAGTGAATCCTGGCTGTTTCTTAATCGCTGGTGGACGAAAGAAAGCTTCGGCGAGATTAACCAGTGAATTAACACTACCGCCCGGGCGCTGCGCTGCCACTAGGCCACGATTTTCGTGCGTTGTCGAAGCTTCCGCAAGTTTTGAAATGCTGGGTGAAATAGCATTTGTGATCGACTGGCCAATCATTTCAGAAGGTCGCGAATTAAGTGAAACAGGGCCCGGTTCCGGATGTCCTGGCCTCGTCCTCAAAAGCATACCTTTATCAGAAGAGTGCGACATTTTCACCTTTCTTTTTCTCGTTGAATAATTCTAACAGTGTCAGAACCAAATTATAGTGGGCAAAAATGGACAGTTTTCAAACTAAATTGCTTTTTAGCGAAAGAACAATTTACTTTGGTACTTTAATCAGCCGCAGCTCACAGGTATCTTTCTCAAAGCTGGCAACTTTTTCAGTTGCTTTGACCAGTGTTGCATCGCCTGATGGCCGGTTTGCCGGTGATCGTTTTGTTGTCTGAAACGGCTACCAGCTCAGTGGTTCTCTCGACACAAACACTTTGGCAAGGCTTTAGCTATTTCGAGAAGTCCTTGATCTATACTGGGCATCAGTACCTCATTTTGAATGTTACCAGTATTTGGCCCCGATGAGGCAGGCACCTTGCCACCCCCCGCAAATGAGGATTTGGGGCTGAAGACATTCGGAGCATTTCAAGATTCTCTTTTTTCCCTCGCTCCTTCATGCTTTCACCCTCCGCGGCCGCCAAATGAGACTTTTTCTGTGGACCAGCGCATTTTCAACCTCAAACTTATTGTGTCGCTAAAACTAATATTGGAGCACTGCTCACAGGGCATCAATGTTAGCAGTTGCAGAGTTCTTCGCCGCCGTGGCAACAATTTCTGTGGCCATTTGCGTAAGCCGACCAATGTTGTCGTTGGATAAGAAGTTCAAAAAGGGCATCCTGGCGCCATCACCCTGCAACATCTTCATTTTGCAACACTGTTGTATCTACGGTACAATTGCCGCTAGTCTTTTTTATGAGGACGTTCCCAATTAAGTCACAGACAATCGGCCGTCTGTTTGTTTGCAACAACAGTTCCAAGCAGCGAAGGAAAGGAAGCCGAGCAAAATTTGTTCAATACCTGAGAATAAGCCACTGTAAGGGACGTAATAAACAAAATGAGAGTAAGGGATAAGGATGGGTTGATACACTTCGAAATTTTTGTAAACAGTACGTTCAATTTCTCTCAGACTGCAACTTGGTCTACGTTGGAAACACTTAAAAACGAGGTCGTGACACTCAGCACACATAGCTGAATCTCCGGGTGGCTAGTCTTTTGCCAAAGTAGTTCTGTTGGAAGAGTCACGGGTCGGTATTCTCTTAAAGAAGCAAAAGGAATGTCAAATTCTCCAGAATGATGACGACTAGGCATTGATCAAAACAAAAATGAAGTGAAGAAAGAGAATGGCATGGCTGTCGGCTACAACACTGATAAATTGGTGGTGAACTAGAAGTATGTTTCTTTTAATTGATCCAGTGTGCTGACGAAGATGCGTGGATTAAGCTAGCTAATTTGACGAATATTTGGCAGGTGAGGGCCGAAAATAAGAATGAATTGAGCTTTACGCAGTTCATAAAAACGCATAAGTCAAAAATGATGAATCCATGCCTGCTAGCGCACAAATTTGTCTGTTCGGAAACTGAACTATTGAAGTGTGGCAACTACTGTGGAAATGGATGACAATATTCGATCACGGAGACCACAAATGTTTTTTCCAGACATCATTTTCTAGACTTCCGTGTGGCAACACAGCTTCTTTTGGCTTTCAGTTCATTATAAGGATGCTTTTAAAAAAACTCCCCGGCGAGTACAATACGAAATTGAAACTTTAAGGATTTAACTTGCTGCCGTAATTTGGGAAAAATGATTTGAATGTGGTTTTCATTTCATTTCCTATAAACTTGCTTGCAAACGCCCCTCAAAATGGGGAGTCACTGGTACGCTGACAACGGGTGGCTGTTGTTGGCATTTGCTGCCCTTGAAATACTTCCGAATGTCTCAGCCCTTCATAAAGAACAAACACGAAACTGCTACTTTTTCATGCCCTATTTACAGTAAGGCAAGTTAGACAGAGGCAAAATCTAATAAATTTATTTTGCTTCACAATGGCAGTTGACTCATCTGAAATCAGCTATTCAACATCGATTTTTATGTGTATATGTGTGTATTTGTGCTCCCAACAGTGTCGGCCTGAAGTTCCAGTTTTAAAAAAGAGCAGGCCAGAGTTTCGAAATTCTAATGCTAAAGAAATCAGCTAAAGAATGCAAAAACACATTCAGCTAAAGAATGCATCAGCTAAAGAAACATCAGCTAAAGAATGCAAAAACACATTTTTACTTTTGTTTCTTTTGTGTTATTCACTTGGTCACTACGATTTATTGCAGTTTATTTCGTGTAGCAATAGTATTTATAAAGTAAACCTAAAGTCTGACGCAGTCGGACCAGTTCGAAAGGCCTAACATGGCCCCAGCGACTGTCCAAACAGTCTTGGTTGTCACGGTAATAAGAAAGCATTGGCCTTTTTATGCGTTTATGCGTATATGCAAATGCAAAAACGTATATTGTGACGACCTATGGTGTGTATTGTGTGTATGTTTGTATGGGTATTTCACCTCGGCAATCAAGCAAGCTCCGGACCTGAAATTTTGCCAGTGGGTTCCCCGGCTAAGTGCCGCACCAAGATCCCAGTACCAAGTTTCACATGCGTTTGAGCTCCGCGTACAAGCGCTGAAAGTTTTGGCAGGAAAATTGCTAACTCGGAAACCAGAAAAGCTAGAAAGCTGAAATTATGGGGGGATTTTTCCCGTTCGCATAAAACTTGAAGATTTTAAACTCACTCGCCCGCCTCCCTCCCCCCCCTTCCCTCGCCAGATATGCGTGGTTCTCACGTACAGGCACTCAAAGGTTTTGGTGAGAAGTTACTCACTGGTCGGCTAGCTCATTTTCAAAAACCGACTGTTAAACGGAATTTGTTCATTTTCCTTTATGAAAAATTTACAGTGATTTATGCTAGTGAGCGCAAAAGGTAAATGTGAAGCAAGAACCATTCATGTAGTTAACAACCTGATTGCTTCAAGCACAGTGCAACCCAGGCTGAAACGCACCGGGCGGGCCCGTGCGATCATGCGTTTTTGCACCGGACTTGA